AAAATTAGAATGAAGATGGGATATTTTATTATTAATTTTATTTATTTATTAATTTTATCTGAAACGTGTTGAAAATACGAGTACTATATATGGAAAGTGACAATCTATAATAAGCATCAGCACTATTGTTAAACTTACCTTAGCTCTGTTAAATGATCTTAGTGATGTTTGGGGAGAAACTTCTCATATTCAAAAAACGATCTCATATTCAAAATGACCAATTCTTATTTTAAGTAACTTTCAGTATGAAAAATGTCACACTTGGTAAGAGCTTAATCATATAGCTAGCTGTCAAATGAAGAGTTGTTAACAAAATTTTTATATTGAACATGTGCAATTGTTTTGGGTAAATTGATTACATCTCAAAAAACCTGTTAATAAAGAAAGCCTTAGAAATCGAAATCTTTCCACCTAGTATAAAGTCTCAAAAATTCTTCACAGAAAACCTATTTGTAACCTCTATTCTTGTTTGAATTTAGAATGGGTTCACTTGCAGCACAAAAGAGAAATTATCTTAAATAAATGTCTCTGATTGCACAGGGCAAGAGGCAGAGAGTGTGGAGGAAGTATATTCAAATGGTTCACTCTGCTCATGATGAATCTTGCTTTGGAGAAGTGAATTACAAGACCGACCATTTCCACCTTGTCCTTTATTACTATTTAAAGAGGTTTCCATCGAGTCCAGGGACCTTGTCTTGCAGCTGCTGTTTCTCTCCCAGGAGTTAATCATCCCTGTTTAATGGAAAGACTTTGTCCTGAAACAGATATTCTGGAGAAACATGTTTGCGAATCATCCATTCTTGAATGGGCAATTAAGTTCTCTATACTTGGAAACTTAGCATGTGGGAGTCCTCTTTACATGAACCTGGATTGTTAAGAAAACTGAATATCATATGAAGAGCAAGGTGGCATAATTCCAGTGTGTGGACCTGTGACGTAGTTTCACCATTGAATCAAGTCATGGAAGAGTTCCTATTTTCTTATCAGGAATGTCATCTGCTGATATCTTAAAGTGCAAGAGAAAGAACCAATCAGGTGAAGATGTGTTATTCACGAATGACTTCTTCCAAGTATTTGCGTCTAGGATAAATTTTTAAAAAAATAGTTAATTAAGATAATGAATTCCTGGGAGGATAAAACCTTAGATGGAAAGATTTGTCCTTTGATATTCTCATAATCCTCTCTAAATATTAAGACTGAGGAAGAAGCTGTTTTCTCATTTTAAGAACAGAATAAGAGGTGCTTATTAAGTATCAGAAATATTTGTGTTTCTTGTTCTGTAGCCATAGACTAGGAGCTCAATATCAGAAGATTTCTCTTAGTTCATAAGACTTTGGGCTTCAAATTCAATGTAGTGTTTTCTTTTCCTTTGAATTGACTTTCCAAGGCATTGGAGTTTTGAAATGCTTACTGAATCTATTTGAATAAATTTGTGTCATCTTGACATTCTCTGCATCCTGTTGAACTGTCCAATCAGTGGGAACTTGAGAAATATACATGCTATGACGTTGCATGCATTGGTTATTTCTTATTCCTGAATACCTTGGGCATTCTCCAACCACAGGAGGTGAACTAGAATTGCTGATTTATAAACCAATTTTCACATTTCCATGTTCTTCAAGTGTTTGCAATTAAAATCATTAAAGCTTTATTTTCTGACAATTTATGGGAGGTTACTTTTTATATGGTTTAGGATATTTTACAGAAATATTTGTTCTCCTCACTGTATATTAACTCAGATTGTAAAAGGATCTGCCTGCCAATGTAGGAGACCTGGGTGTGATTCCTAGGTTGGGAAGATGCCCTGGAGAAGGGAATGGCTACCAACTCCAGTATTCTTGCCTGGAGAATTCCATGGACAGAGAAGCCCAGTGGGCTATAGTTCATGGGGTCGCAAAGAGTCAGATACAACTGTGTGACTAATTCACACACACACACACACACACACACACACACACCATTTTCCTGTTTTAAAGTTGATGTATAGTTGATTTATGACATCCTGCTAATTTCTGATGTAAGCAAAGTGATTCAGTTATATCATATTATTTTCCATTATGATTTATTACAGGATATTAAATATAGTTCCCTGTGCAATACAGTAGGACCTTGTTTTCATCTATTTTATATATAGGAGTTTGTATCTTCTAATATCATTGTATCTGTTTTTATGTTTGTATCATACTGCTTGATTACTACAGCTTTGTAGTATAGTTTGAAATCAGGAGTGTGCTACTTCCACTTTGCTCTTTCTCAAGACTGCTCTGGCTATTCAGGGTATTTATATTTTCATATAAATCTTAGAACTTTTTGTTCTAGTTCTATTAAAAATAGCATTGGTATTTTGGCAGAGATTTCATTGAACCTATAGATTGCCTTGAATAATATTGTGATTTTAATAATATTAATTCTTCCAATTCATGAACATGATATATATTTCAAAGTGTTTGTATAGTCTTCAATTTCTTTCATCAGTTTATTATAGCTTATCAAGTGCAGATCTTTACCTCCTTAATTAGATTTATTCTTTGGTATTATATTCTTTATCATGTGATTGTAAATTGGATTGCTCTCTTAATTTCTATTTCTGATGGTTTGTTGCTAGTGTGTTGAAGAAATGCAACAGATTTCTGTATATTAATTTTGTATTCTGAAACTTTACAAATTCAATGATGAGCTCTAGTAGCTTTTCAAAGATTTTCTATATTTGTATTTTCAGCTTCAGTGACAGTTTTACTTCTTCCTTTCTAATTTGGATTTATTTTACTTCTTTTCTCTGATTTCTATGGCTAGAACTTCCAACAAATAATAAATGTGGCAAGAATGAACATCCTTGTCTCTTTTCCTTATCTTAGAGGAAATACTTTCTGAGTATACATAGTATATAACATTATACACTGAGTATAATGTTAACTGTGAGATTATCATGAATGGCCTTTATTACATTGAGATATGTTTCCTCTCTGCCTACTTTCTGAAGAGTTTTTGTCACAAATGGGTGAAGAGTTTTGTCAAAAGCTTTCTTTGCCTATACTAAGATGATTAAATAATTTTTATTCCTCAATTTGTTAACATGGTGTATCACATTGATTGCTTTATTGATATTAAACTATCCTTATATCTCTGGGATAAATCATATTTGATCATGATGTATTATTCTTTCAACTTATATTGAAGTTAGTTGCTAATATTTTGTTGAAGAATTTTCCATCTAGGTTCATCAGTATATTGGACTATAATTTTCTCTTCTTTTGTGATATCTTTGTCTGGTTTTTGGTGATGCAGGCCTGCATCACCAAATGAGTTCAGAACCATCCCTTTCTCTGTAAATTGTTTGAAATAGTTTCAGAAAGACAGGTGTTAACTCTTCATTAAATGTTTGGTAGAACTTACCTGTGAAGAAATCTGGTCCTTGACTTTTTTCCCCCCAAAATTTAAAGTGTGTGTTAGTTGCTGAGTCACGTCTAACTCTTTGTGACCCTATGAACTATAGCCTGCCAGGCTCCTCTGTCCACGGGATTCTCCAGGCAAGAACACTGGAGTGGGCTGCCCTTTCCTCCTCTGGGGGACCTTCCCGACCCAGGAATCAAACCCACCTCCTGTACTGCAGGCAGATTCTTTACCCTCTGCCACAGCAGCTTTATTTTTCCTAAATTATGGATTTAATTTAAGTACTTTTAATTTATATGATCATATTTCCTGTTTTTACTGGTTCAGTCTTGTAGGATTGTGCATGTCTAGGAATTTATCCATTTCTTCTAAGTTGTTTATTTTATTGGTGTATAATTGTTTGTAGTAATTACTTATAATCTTTTTTGCTTTCTGTGAAGTTATTTGTAACTTCTCATTTAAAATTTTTTGTTTTTATTGATTTGGGTCTTATGAGTCTAGCTAAAGTTTTGTCAATTTTGCTTATTTTTCCAAAGAATCAGATCTTAGTTTCATTAAAAAAAAAAATTTTTAGTCTCTTTTCCCATATATTTCTACTCTGATCTTTATGATTTCTTTCCTTCTACTAACTTCAGGATTTGTCTATTTTCTTTTTCTATTTCTTTTAGGTGAATAGTTAGATAGTTATTTGAGATTTCTCCTCTTTCCTGATGTAGGCTTCTATTGCTCTAAACTTCCCTCTTAGAACTGCTTCCGCTACATCCTGTAGATACCTGGAGGAGGGCGTGGCAACCTGCTCGAGTCTTCTTGCCTGGAGAATCCCCATGAGCAGAGGATGGTAGGCTATAGCGGTCCATAGGGTCACACAGAGTCAGACATGACTGAAGTGACTTAGCATGCATGCATAGATTCTAGGTCATTTAATTTTTGTCTTAAAGCATTTTAAAATTTCTTCTTTCAGTGATTCATTGGTTGTTTAGTGTCAGTTTTTTCCCCTATAGCTGATTTCTAGTTTCATAGTGCTTTGGCCAGAAAAATTTCTTGACATGATTATACTATTATTACTATTTTACCCAGTTCTCCATCCACTGCATAGCCATACATTTAAATATAACAGCTGTATCAAGTTGTATAACATGTGACTTAAACCCTCTCCTCGAGGCTTCAGAATATTTGCTAAAAATATGTGTTGCACTGTCCTGAAGATAATACATGTGAACAAAATTTGAAAAAATCTCTTTGCCTAGGTAGATTTCTTCTATTGAATGACCAATAGAATTCCCGAAAGTCTAAAATAGTCAACAAGAAGGCATAAGATGATATCTTTTTATATTTCTACACCAGAAGTGTTGGTAGAATTTTAACCTCCGTTTGTTCTCCAACTCTAGATATCACACTGATAGAAAATATATCAAGTCACAAGGTTCCTATAGATAGCATTAGTCCTGATGTGTTTATAGTACAAGCAAGACATTGACTCAGAATCTCACCCACTTCTGGTGACCTTAGTTGGTGAGGAAATGTTTTCAGAGGTATGCAACCTCAATGAAACCCCATGGAGTTGTTCACATAGTGTTTACTATCTTTTATGTCTCGGTTCATGATACCCAATGGCTTATGTGAGAATTGCTTTCTCACCCAACTTTCCAACCAGGAATGAAAACTGTTACTACATTAGTTTAAAGTTCACAGAAAAGAACCAGTCAGGTGAAGGTGTATTGTTTGTGGACAAATTCTCCCCAATATCTGTTTCTAAGGCAAAAGTTAGAAAAACAAAAAAAGGAGATAATTAATTCCTAGGGGGACAAAGCCTTAGATATTAATAGAAAAACCAGTCCTTTAACATTCTCAGTATCATCTTTAAATACTAAGATTCAGGAAGAAGCTGTTTTCTTATTTTAAGAGCAGAATAAGAGGAGTTTATTAAGTAATGAAATATTTGTATTTCTTGTTGTGGAATCATGAATCTAAGTGCTAAAGATCCAAAGATTCTCCTTAGTACCTAGGAAGTTTGGGTTTCAAATTTATCATAGCATTTTATTTTCCTTTGATGTGAATTTCCAAGGCACTGGAGCTTTGCAAATGTGTGTTGAATCCGTTTGAATAAATCTGTGCCATCTTGACATTCTCCGCTTCCTGTAGAATAGTCCAGTCAGTGGGAAGACTTGAGAAACATCCATTACATGACATGATCTTTGAGCAGCTACAAATAATGATTGTTTCTTATTTCTGAATACATTGATCATTCTTCTTAAGGACAGAGGCCACCACGGTAAGTTAACTAGCACTGTTGATTTTTAATCTGGTTTTTACATTTCCATTTTATTCTAAGGGGTTTAGAGTTAAATCATTAAAGTTTTCCTTTCTGATATTGATGGTTTTAGATGTTTTAGGATATTTTGCAGAAATATTTATTTTTCTCACTGTTTATGGGTTTGACTATAATTAATAAGGGATAGGTTTAGGAGTTATGGATAGAGAAGGACAGCATTTGGATTCTGTTTTTTAAAGAAAAAGCTCAGTTCAAAAACTGAGATCCAAAGAGAAAATGAATTAAAATATGTCATTAAAAATGTACCCTCCGTTGTGATTGGGAGTCTTTATTAAACTCCAAGCTCAAAGGCTAGTTTATTCTAATTCTATTCAAACTTGGTGGATCTTGTTAGATCTTATTTTTGTTTCAGTGGATGTGGTCCCAGTAGCATGATTGAATTTCTGTACCCCTGAACTGGACTTCCCTGGTGGCTCAGTGGTAAAGAATCCACTTGCCAAAGAGAGAGATGCAAGAGATGCAGGTTTGATCCCTGGGTTGGGAAGATCTTCTGAAGTAGGAAATGGTAGCCCACTCCAGTGTTCTTGCCTGGAAAATTCAATGGACAGAGGAGCCTGGCAGGCTGCAGTCCATGGGGTCACAAAGAATTGGACATGGCTGAACACACACACACACACACACACACACACACACACACACATAACCTTAGACTTACATCTTTTCATAGAGTCAAAACAGGTATTGCTAAATATTAGAGATGAAAGCTAATCTCGTTGTCACCTTATGGTGATTTTTTCCCCCTGTATACGGTCACCTTAAAGTGTCTGAACAGAGTAAAATGTGGTGCTGTGGGAAAAAAAAAGTACTGTTTAGGGCTTTAGAAAACTTGGATTCTTGTGTTCTACTGATCAGTTAGCTGTGTTTCTCTCTGGGTCTCAGTTTCCTCATCTTTAAAGAGGATCATGACATTTGGTCCCATCAAACTTGTTTCAGTGCTATTCTCTCAGAACATCCCACCCTCGCCTTCTCCCAAGAGTCCCAAAGTCTGTTCTGTACATCCGTGTCTGTTTTTCTGTTTTGCATATAGGGTTATCATTACCATCTTTTAAAATTCCATATATATGCATTAGTATACTGTATAGGTCTTTTATCTTTCTGGCTTACTTCACTCTGTATAATGGGCTCCAGTTTCATCCATCTCGTTTGAACTGATTCAAATGAATTCTTTTTAATGGTTAAGTAATATTCCATTGCTCTTTACAGCACCGGACCTTGCTTCTATCACCAGTCCCATCCACAACTGGGTATTGTTTTTGCTTTGGCTCCATCCCTTCAATCTTTATGGAGTTATTTCTCCACTGATCTCCAGTAGCATATTGGGCACCTACCGACCTGGGGAGTTCCTCTTTTAGTATCCTATCATGTTGCCTTCTCATACTGTTCATGGGGTACTCAAGGCAAGAATACTGAAATAGGAAAAGGAGTATATCAAGGTTGTATATTGTCATCCTGCTTATTTAACTTATATGCATAGTACATCATGAGAAGCGCTGGGCTGGAAGAAGCACAACCTGGAATCAAGATTGCTGGGAGAAATATCAATAACCTCAGATATGCAGATGACACCACCCTTATGGCGGAGAGTGAATAGGAACTAAAGAGCTTCTTGATGAACGTGAAAGAGGAGAGTGAAAAAGTTGGCCTAAAGCTTAACATTCAGAAAACTAAGATCATGGCATCTGGTCCCATCACCTCATGGGAAATAGATGGGGAGACAGTGGAAACAGTGTCAGACTTTATTTTTTTGGGCTCCAAAATCACTGCAGATGGTGA